GAATCTTACCAGGCAGGCTGCCTCAAGGCTGCTCATTTGGGGCTTTTAGGGTCCCTGGGCCTGCTTCAGAGTCAGCAACCTAGAAGCACCACATCTCGGATCTGGGCAGTTTCCACAGAGCAGAAATGAAACACTGGGTTCAAGGAGTTCACATGACATTGCCAAACTGAATGTCTTGCAGAACCCAGGCATGTGTCCTCGCTGCTGGACCAGCCCTCCATCTTGTAAGTGAGAATGAAGTGGTACCTGGCCTCCTATAAAAAAGTAAACTAACCTTTTGTATATAAGGAGCATTTCCTATTTTATTGCCTTCCTAGCTTAAAATTTTCCTTTCTTTTAGCTTCCTTGGTAAAATAAATAAATCATCTCAGTATTCTGCAGTAATGTCCAGAACGTATTTTAACACTGGGCCCCGTGGCAGCAAGTTTTGATGTTTTGTACCGTTACTATAGAGTGCTGTCACACTTCCAACAGGAGTTACACTGATGCTGAAGTTAAACTGGTCTGTGCTAAGCGAAATCACTGCAAGGTAAATTAGGGCTTTGTTACACCGTATGCTGTAAGCTGCACGAATATTAATTGGCTTAGTGTTGATCAGCTTCACGAAACAATCACACCTTATGGCAAAAAGAAACCTCTTATGAAACTGTGACTGTCCCTCACCTGCACAACTGTGACTTGCCACTACAGGCTTGGTGAGCAGGGGCAGGACTAGGAGCCTATGTAAAATGTTTCTTAGTGCAAACAAGGTCAGTGCTGTCAGTCCCTCTCGCCACCACCCAGCCCAGCTTGCTGCTTGAACTCTGAGGGGTGCAATCCTTTTTTCTGGAGCTCGCTCCCCTCATGCTGCTGATGGTGGGAGCAGTGAGCTGGTCTGGGCAGTGGTGGAAGGCACTGAGGCCATCAGGCACTCTGGAGCTGTGATGCTTGGTCTGCCTGATGTCCCCGGGGGGGTGAGGCACTATGACTGCCCCCCCTGCAACCCAGTGTCCCTACTCACCCTGACTCAGGAGGGGCCACTGCATCCTAGGATGCTGGAGGACTTCAACTTGGGTGGAACAGCTGTGGGGAAGTAGCCATATGGTAATGAAGCAGGAGCAAAATTAGGCAGATTAGAGATAATCCTGCCCTGGAGTGGCATAACTTTAAGCAAATAATGAGTGCTTTAAGCCACTTAAAGGTGTTAACGTGTCGCCAGTCTAGGTGTTAAGAGCTCCAAAAGACTCCTAAACTTACAATGAAACAAGGCCCTTACTGGCTAGCTTCCACCGACCACAGGGTAAGAGCATGTACAAGGGCAGTAACCACAGAGCGGTTCACATGCTGCAAATCCTTGCCCTTGGTTATTTTAGAGTAACTTGCTAAAATGCCCATGCCCTCAGTTTTAGTTTATTGTTTTGGATGATTGCTTTAGTATATGCTGGTCTGCTGTATAAGTGCTCACAGATGTAAATACATGCATTCATTACAGAGGAATTATATGTGGCATAAAGGTAACAGAGAGAAAGCATAAAGGGTGGGATTTTTCACACAAGCATTTCAATAGGGTATAAGAACAGAGAATTGTCTGATGGAAAGGAACAGTTGGAGGTATGCTGCCTCTACCATGACCAGTGCCAGTTGCTTCAGAAAAGACACAAAAGCCCTGTAGTAAAACTATTAGTGTTATAAATTATTATGATTCCACATTATCATATAGAATGATTTATTCCTGACCCCTGCTGGTGATCAGCTTGTGCTCTGATAACCCTTATGAGAGGATCCTAGCTCATGTGTCTGCAGGTGCTATTCTTATTCATAAGTAATTCTAATTTAAAGGAATCCTTGCAACAGGCAGGTGGGTTCACACAACAGAAAAGCACAGGCAATGATAGAGAAATTCAATCAGTTCATCACCTCAGGCACAGAGACAGAAGAGAGGAGTGCAAGAAAGAAATAACCTATGAAATTTGGACCCACAGTTGCCGTTAGAGTCTAAATCCTCTAAGAAGTTCAGAAGGATCAAGATGCAGGGGTTGACTTGGGCCTATTCCTATCCTGGATCATGCCAATGTCCACTTAATATTATAGTATTTCCTTGGCAGTAACGTACAGTAGGAACATTTTCTATTAACATGCTTTTGAGAGACCTAGATGTATTGGTATGTGCTAAATACAGTCTAAACCAATCACTGACTTCTGTGCATTTTGCCTCTTCCTTCAACTAACAGTATCATTACACTGTTACACCGAGAGTGCGATTTCACTGGCTACTGAAAACCAAACTTCTTGTGGGACAACACACAAGTGTATTTTTATGGAGCACAATTCAAGAACTAAGAAAGCCAGAGTATCTGTCTTGCTGCTGCCACACATTGACTTTATTGTTAATATTTACATAAGTGCTTTAACAGCTAAGAATTTTCTCATATAGTAAAACTCAACCTACCTTAATTGCTTTCGCTCTGCTGATTAGCCCATCTTGTTGAGCACTTCCAATTAGCAGATCCACCTTCTTAAGTCGAGTTCGCTGCAAGGCTGCAGCCAAAGGCTCCTGAAGGTAGATGCCATCAACCACTGGACCCCAATACTGAAATGGCCCACTGATGGCCAAGAGCTATATTGGAGAGAGAACAACTGGCTTAGACAACTAACATTGTACCTATGTAACCTAGTTGTGTTCCCTTCCTCATCCCCATCCCTCTTACATTATTCCCTTGCTCAGGCACGCTGTATTTCCTTTATGGCCTTATCATTCTTGTTCTTAACATTTTCTAATGAAGTTAAACTATAGGTGGGCTTTTGAAAAGTGGCCATTGATAACCACTCTCTGCTGCCTTTGAAATCTATTGCAAACATGCCACTAAATGGGATCTGTGTTCTCATCCAAACTAGATCTCTCAAGGCACCAGTACTGGGATAGAGGGAAGCTCAGTAGTGAGTGTCTGGCCCAGACTGAGAATGACTGAAGGCTGCTCCCATCTGACTAATGTTTGCTCAGTTGCCTCCCTAGAACAAACCACTGGGCTGATGGCCTCAGAGAAGACAAGTTCCCCCTGTAAAGTAACTGAAAATCACAGCTGACATGAACTGGGGCCTTTGCTGGCAGTCTCAGCAGAAGAGCCAAGATCAGAGAGAGTGAATGAACCAGTTGGTCCTAGAGGTGTCACATTTGGCTTGGGGATGAGGTCTGGTGTTGGGTTGTGACTGGGGAAGCCTCTGCTCCCCCATGTAGGAAGAACCCCACCCTCCAGGTGGTCAGTACAGCACCATCTGTAAGCCCTGCTGCTTCTGCAGACAGCTAGGCACATGATTCCCACTGACATTAGAGCTTGTCTACATAACTCTGGTTGCAGATTTAAACCCAGCTGGGGGCACATTTCCATAGTCAAAGTGATACTCAAGTCACTGTTGCACTGAAGTGAATGCTGATTTACAATCACTGAGGATCAGACCAACAGTCTTTTACAATTCTGCTTGCAAGTTCCTGCAGTGCTACCTCTATTTCCCACCTATGATACAGATGGACACATATTTTGCTGTACCTTAGTCTGAGCATCATTGAGCGCACCGGCAGGCAGCTGACGGAGGCAGGTTATGGTTTTCTCGCTGCTGGATGAAGGGCATCCTAATTCATTAGCCAGGACCACCACTTGGTTTTGGGCTGTCTTCTTACTAATCACTGACACTGGAGAAAAAGCAGAGCCTCCCTAGAAAAGAAAACAGGCTCTCACTTAGCTGATCACGTAGGTGTGTGCTTCCTCAGTGCATGCTAAAAAATCCAAAATAACAAAGTGCTCAGGCACTGAACAAGAACTTGATTTTGCAAGAGGACCAGTGAGATCCAGTGATTAGAGCACAGGTTTATTTATTTATGTATTCAATTTATATTCTGACATGTCCAGAGGAATAAACCCAGGGAAAATAGTATTCAAGTGAAAGGACAAAAACAAATGGATCCAAGTAGGCCACGGATAAATTCATTCTGGAAGTTAGCCACTAAAGGACTAGGGCTCTTGAAGTCTCCCAACAGAAGGGACAAAACACTACATTTAGGATGGGATTTGGCCAGGGTAGGAAAAAGTCTGTGTGTTGTGATTGCCTGTAATTGGGGACTGAACAGGAGGCCCCTTCCAGTCCAGTAGTCCTAGAATAATATTCACGCCCATGTGATTTGCAATGGCTACAACTTTTGCTGAACCTATATTACAAAGTAATTACTGTCATATGTCTTATGGAGGTGACTGAAGGCAGCGACCAAAACTGAGGCCCCATTTTGCTTGACACTGTAACAACACACAAGTGGTCACACTTCCTGCCCCTTGGGACTTAAAACCAAACTAGTCTTCCTGTTAAGTCTGTCTCCTATATTTGTTAGCACTCTAGGGATAGCAAAAGTTCAGAGAGAGCAATGTTGAGTCCCAAGGCTAATCCCAGTGATGATGATGATGATGATGATGATGATGATGATGATGATGATGATAATGATATTAAGAGCAGGAAGGAAGCCAAGACTATACTTTCAAAGTTCATGCAGAGAGCTAACAATTAGCTGGGAAAAAATATCCCTTTACAGCTGAGAACTTGACCTGGAAGATACCGTGCTACAGTGAACGTGGAATTTTACCATTGCTCTTCAAACTATACTTAATCTTTGAATCAATTAGCCAGAGCAACTATAAGACCAGAGGAAGGATCAGAACCCAGGAATTCCTGGCTTTAACCCCATGGTCATGGTATTGCACTCTCCCTGCCACACACACCTCATTCCCATCCTTCCCCCCTCAACTTCTCACAGCTAGGAAAAGATGGTCCAATGCTGTTGAGTAAGCCACCTACATGCAGGTATATTAGCATAATCTGATAACATCTAACCTAGAACAGCATGGCTGGAAGAGCTGTGACAGTTCAAGTGACTAATTTCCAAACATATAGATCAGTTTATAATAATAACTTCACAGATGCTTTTCCGTCTTAAAAAAGGCAAAAAAAAAAAGGCAAAAAAAAAGCAAAAAACCCCAAGATACATGATATGAGTGAATCTGATCTCCTCAACTGATTAGCTGTTTGCAGTATAAAAGAAATTAAATGCAAAACCTTGAAACCAGAAAAACACAAACACTGAGCAAAGAAAAAAATAAACTCATGTCAAAACTGATTTTTAATCTGATGGCACCAAATATTCGTTTTTTAACAACTGCACCCAGGAGTTAAAAACAGCCATGCCCATTTCTGCCCATCTAAGCAAGTACCTACTGGCTGTGATGACTGAGGCAATCAGCTTCCAAATATAATTAGAAAGACATTATTGTTTGGATGTTGAGCCAGTTGTACGAGCTCACCACATGTAAAACTCCCACTGGGCCTATTTTACTATGCTTCTGAAGGATTTTTCTCTTTTGTTGAATCAGTTAAAAGAAAAAAATGGCATTTGGAAAGAAAGAATAGTCATTTATTCATTAATTTATGGCTGAGCTGCAAGGCTGCTGTAGCTAAGCAAAAGGAAGGCTCTAAGTTTCAAGCGTGTACCTTTGTTGGCACAGCAGAGTCTGCTCCAGAAGGGGTATGATCCCTGTGGCAGGACAGGGACATCAAGGAGTCCTGGGTGCCCAGTTTGGATGGACTAGCTGTGTTCTTAGACAGGCAATTAGCTAGGTGGTAATACCTTACCCCAGCATGGGACTGGTGAACCTTGATTCAATGGTGACTGTCAAGCACTGTGAGATCTGTGAATGAAAGGCACCAGAAGGGCTAGATCCTCTAGCATGTTGAATTCCTTGGGTAGTGCAAAGGAAGGAATGGATGGCTTCACCGCCTCCAGTGGAGGACCTTGTAGTAGGTGTAAAATTTGCAATGTATACTCCTGCTCCTCCATCCCTACAGACTCAGCACAGACTAAGACCAGAGCAATATCACAATTCCGCTATCTCTAGCAGGTGCAAGTTAGAGCATTCTCCCTCCATTGTTCTAGCAAGAACAGAGACTCATGGAGCCATCTGAGAGACGCAAAGTGCCTGGCCTTACAACTGACTGCATGGCTGTATTGTATCCTAATATTGGCACCATTTTCCCCTGCTTAGAGTTGAGTGTGCTCGGCATCTCACAGAAAGTGCGTAGCACACTCAGAATTGTGCTGTTTGCTATTATTAGCAAGCTTGGCAACTTCTCTGCATTCCGCTTTCCCAATCTGTAAAATGAGGCAACTGTCTAGTACCCATTTTTGCAAAGCGCTGCTTACTGCTGGAGAATAGATAGAAAGATAAAGGCCATCTAAGCACAGCTGGGTGCATCTACATATGCACTTTACTGAGGAGCTGACTAATTTGCTCCACAGTAAAACATCACTGCCTACACGTGTGATCATATTATGGCACATTAATTTACTACATTGTAGGATAGTACTGCCTGACGAGCACTATTCTACAGTGGAGTAGCTATGTGTGCTAAAATGCATGTGTAGACCATGCCTGCCTGCCAACTAGTCCTGCCCTGCAGCACCTTCATGCCCCAGCCAGCCCCTCCACAGCATGTTGCGCCAGGTCAGAGCAGCTCTAGGCTGGCAGTCTGACCCCCCAGGCCTCCTGCCAGCCAAGGCTGCTCCACCCAGGCTCAATGTGCTGTGGTCCAGGGCGCACATATAAATGCTGCAACCAGAAGCAATAAATTCTGTCATGAACTCTGGAGTAATTAACATGTAGCCATAAACTGGATTGGAAGGCACCAAGGCCATCAGGCACTCTGGGGCTGTGGTGCTTGCTCTGCCCATCATCCCTGGGGGGCGAGATGCTATGTTGGGCCACTCTGCAGCTGCTACATGTTAATTACACGTGTAGATGCACCCACTAGCCACATCCGGACAAGCATGGCTGTGTGGTACGTGGTGCCGCAGACACGTCTGCACTGCCACATACTGCATATTCAGCTGTTTTTCACTCTGTAAGGTAACAGCATTGGGGGCGGGGATTGACCCATGAATATCCAGCATGCAAAAAAAGAAGCAAAGCAGCGCACACAGGGACAGCATGCACCACTCAAAACCAGAGCCTGGTAGGCCAGAACCATGCTCTGGCTGCCGGCCAGGCTCTGAGTGGCAGGACTGCCACTGCTGCAGCCCCAGGAGGCCCTCAGGTAAGGCTGCTGGGGCGCATGGTACAGATGTTCCCTGGGGAAAAGCAGCAGCGACACAAGGGGTCCCACTGCTGGTTGTCCCCAGGGAGCCAAACATCCAAGCCACTGTGTGTTAAAAATTCAGTTCCATCGAAGGACTGGTTTTGGAGCATCACCTCTAGTTAATTGCTTAATGTACCTGAACATTCTGATTTGGAGGAATTCAAAGAGTAAAAGTGAAGACCCTCTCCCAACAAGGGAACTTTTACTGATTAGAACAGCCCCTCACTCTGTCACACTGCCATGTCCACGTGGTTGGAGATTCACACCTGCAAGACATGCATTGTAAACAAACTTGGAAATGTGAGCTGGACCTCCTGTGGTTGCACCCAGTTATGATAATTAAATGCAACAACTGTTTCAATCAAGACCCTTCCTTCTGATGGTTTCTCTCCTTGTTGTCCCTGAGTAATAGAATGGGTTAAGTACTGGGGGTTTTCATTGGAAAGTGTCAGTCCATCAAAATCAAAACTTTCTGTTCAAATGTAATATTTTTGACAAAGCTTGTCAAAAAGGTTTCCCAGGCCTTGGATGGAATTTCTGGTGGTGGTGGAGAAAAGGGAAAGAAAAAGTGCAGGAGACTCAACCCAGAAGAGTTTGTAATCCAGTGGTTAGGGTATTTCACCAGGATATGGAAGTCCCAGGTTCAAGTCCCTGTTGGTCCTGTTTTAAACCAGGGTCTGCCCTGATTTAAATGCAACTATTCATTGGAGCAAGGCTTTGAATCTGGCTTTTCCACATCTCAAATGACTGCCACAAGCATTTGGCTGTAGTCAAGCCATATCTCTCTCTTTCATACCTAAAGAATATTTAGTTGTTAATAGAAACAGCTCCAATGGGAGAGACCCATGCAAGAACAGATGACAGCTTTGCAATGAAAGTCTTCCCTTAGGTTGTGAAAGACTAAATTAGGAAGAAACAGGGGCTTGAACCTGAGTCTCCTATTAAGTGCCATAATACTAGGAGATTGACATGGGCAATTCTAGGCTTTTGAAAAGTGAGCTATAGATACTGTGGTGCATCATCCAGTTAAAAAGAAAATAGAAGTAGGACTAATGTGCTAAGGGCCTGAGGTTATATTATTCAATTTAAGGCCAAAGAAAAAACAAATATTACTTTATTAAAATATGTGCTAATTTACTATTTCATATACTATGCATACAAACATAACAAGTTAAGCAAAAAAAGGACAATATGTTGTTCATTACTTGTGTAGTCATTAGAATTAAATGTGCATCTCCTTTTTAGATTTATAAAACAAAACTTGGCCTTCTTGAGCATCTTGACAGCACACCCAATATTTCACTGAACGTTATTTCCACAGCTCACTTAATGTCCACCTAAGTTAATATTTCCATACCTGAGTTAATGTTTTTAGCTAGAGTCAAAAACATTCTGCAGGGCCGCATGGTAGGAGCTACATTACCAGGAGGATAGCTTGTTTAAGCGAACATCAACGTCATTAAAGAAAAGACAAGGTTATTAACAGATGTGGAAACAAGAATTTAGAAAGAATCAGGTAGATTAAACAGGTAAGCGACAG